TGGAAATTACATTAAATAAATATATGTTTCAGTTCTGTCGGAGTCCATTCGAGTATCTGGAGAGCAGGGGTTTGGAATGAGGAACTTCACAATGATCATGCATACAAGAAAGCAGTGCAGACCTCAGAGCTTGAGTCTTTATATGAGGATGTGCCAAATTACAGCCTTATGTTGCTATGTATTATCGTGTTCCCTGTTTGGCTTGGTCTGTAGAGCGTATTTCTGTAATGGTATGTGGTACCAAGGCTGCGTTAAGCCTTTAATAATAAACTCTTACAACTCCTGTGGGACTGATGGTTTGTGGTTTCTCAGGACCACTTCCAAAGCAGCACGCAATCATTTTTTAACTGATTTTTTAATAAATTTTTTTTCCTGTTGGTTTATTGCTAAAGTCTGGTTTAGGTTTTAAAAGAAAAACGGTAAAAAGTTATTGGTTCAGTTTCTTTGGTTTCCAATAGGATATGACAAATATCTGCAAGTCTTGGAGGGAGAGTCTGTAAAAGGCAAAAGAAGTTAGTGGCTTCTCAGGGGGACGTACTGAACTCACAGCTGAAATTCTGAAACAGCACTTAGGTAAACATACAAGTTATACATGTTGATTAAATGTGGATCATATTTGCTGTTCTCATTCTGTGTTGCCACTGCTTGTTTTCAGTTTGTATACGGCATTTTCATCAGCAGTGAAATCAAAGCAAAGACAATATTTGCACTGGAAGTTGGTCCATGTATTTGCTCTTACATGATTTCAGGAACTTGACATAGTTGGGCTTCAATAGCTATTTCCACACATCTCTTGAGTGCAGCACCCATGCACGATGGTATTGTTTATCCTATGGTGTCTGTATCTGTTTCTTGGAGTATGAGGCTTAAGATGTTTTCCCGCATGTTCTTATTTCTCTGACTCCTACATATCTGCATTTTGTTGGTCAGGATCATTACTCCTTTAAGAAGACCCAAATCTTCATTAATTTTTCTGTTCAGAGACTACAGTAGTAGAAAAGATATCAGTAAGGAATAGCCGTTAAATAGTTGTCTGGTGTCGAGAAATGCCTAGACCTAAGGTGCACAATATATGCAGCAAGATGAGTAATTTAATTTGTGTTGGGGACAGGCGAGTCATCAGGTTTGGTGTCATCCAGGCCCTGAGAAAGCTCACGGTCACCAAAACAGGAGGAAGGAATTGTAGGAGACCTAAGACGGGGGACACTGGAGTGGAAGAAGAAAGTATGTGTGTGATAAGGGGTCAGTGACAGTTGAAGTGTAGCCTTTGCCTTGAAATACAATCAGTCCTTGTACCTGGGGACTTGTCTGGACAGTGATACAAGCAAAAGCAGCCACCTCAGGTTTGCAGGCTTTTTTTTCTTTTGACTTCAGAACTGTGCAAACCCCGTTGTGTTCAAGGGCAAGTTCAGCTATATGTCCAGTATGGAGGAACATCATTGGAACAGAGTTCAGATTTGTTCCCAGAGCTGCATTGAGTGTGTCTGCACAGTCTGTCTTGGAGCTCCTGATTCCTGAACCAGACAGGATCCTTCTGTTGGTTCCATAGTAGCGAGCTCTCCTGGAACAGGGCTCTCATACAGCATTACTCCACACTCCAAAAGGGCTTTGATGGAGCACGTTCATGTAGCCTTGCACAGCAGTTTTTCTGGGGGGACGATGAAGCAGACTCATGTGTTGGTCCAATTTTTCATGCTGTAGTTGGATGGCAGGTGGGAAGGAAAGTGACCCTGGGCATAGTCCCAATGCAGCTTTGACCCAAAGGTGACCCAAAGTGACACAAAGCAACTTTGCAGTCTGTGTATTGATGTCTTAGCCATTGTTATTCCTGGCACGGAGTGCCTTCTAAGTAAGTGAGTGTTTCTGCTGGTTTTGCTGCTTCTGATGGATTGGATCAGATCTTTGGATCTGATTAGATGAGATCTTTGGATCTTGGATTGCATTTGGATTTTGCTGTATCTTGTTTTTTTTTTTACTCCCTTTTCTTTTAAACTGCTGTAACCCCTTAAAAAATGATTGTAGCTAGCGTAAAACAGATGTAAAAGGCTGGCATTGTGGTGTGTGCAGCCTTAAGCTGTGCATATTGGCAAGTTATTGGATGTTAGATTTCATGATTTGGGCATAAAGGCTTCCCTTCAGTTAAGAAGGCAGTGAAAAAAACCTTTAAACTGCTTTATGGAAGTAGGCAGCTGAAAGATGAGGTCGCTCCTTCAGGCATAAACACTTCTTGGCACCTAAAGCTAGGGCACGTGTCAGTGGGTATGTTTTACATTGTGTCTTACTAAATTTGGAAATACAGAGCTTTTAAAGATTGCCTTTGAAAGACAGAGTGGACTCAGGGGCTTGGGGAAGGTACTGGGCACAGACTGTGCAGCCACTAAAATTCTTGCAGTCTCTGCAAGAAAACCTCTAGAAAGCCGGGAGAATTTTTAACTGAGTGATGACTGGAAGAGGTTTGAAGCTAGAAGCAAAGAAACCTTTCTTATTATGTTCATGGAAGCCAGACTCGGTGTATTTGCAAATAAATCTGGCTTGCCTCAAAGAAATGCTTATCTCCATGAGCTTCTGACAAAAATAACCCGTAGCTCTGAATCTGGCTGAATGCGGATAGCTGAGTGGAAGAAAGGTGACACATGGTTATCTTCTCAGCTTTTTTCAAGTTTATAACTTCTTTGCTTTTGAAGTGTCAATACCAGAAATAAACACAGTGTTTTAATAAAGATCCATGGCCTGTGAAATCACTTGTGGGGGCAGAGGGAGAGTTGATTGTAATACAGGTTATTCACAGCGAATTTGATGTTGAAGCCATGAACTAATAGTCACATGGAGGATTGGACTGGAAAGGGGAGCTCACATACTTATTCTGCTTTTTTAATTTCTGTGAGGAAGATAATGTTCTCAGTTAAGAGAATGAAACATACTATTTTTGTGGGCAGCAATAATGGTATTAATTTGGTGCTTGCAATGCTTTTCAGCCGTTCTTAGCTAAGTCCTAATACTTCATGTGCAGTCTTTGAATGCAGAATATACTGCAGGAAAATGAACAATATTTAAATTTGGCATTAAGTACAAAGCAATACTTTATGTTGATAAAAATCTCAACAGTTTTTTATAAGTAGAATCCCACAGAGATACTTCAGAATTAATTGATGGCAGATGAATTTAACACAGTTAAAATGAATTGACCCCCTTGCCATTTAGAATAATATAAAGATGTCTGAATTTTATTCCCAAAAGAGGAAATACAGTTGTTAAGTCCAGATGGATTTTTATTTTTATTGGAGTAAGTTTTGAGACTAGCAATATTATTTTTTTTTTTTTAATGTTACTACCAGAGTGTTGGATCTGGGACAGCACAGGCCTACTTTTTAAAAATTGTTTTAAATCCAGTTAAATGAACAGCTTTACAATGTTTATTTTGAAAATTAGCACTTTCTTATTGAATTTGTAAGAATTTGAAAATAAGCACGGGAATGATATACAGTCTAGAAAAGCCAAGGGCTTGGGTCTTTGTCAAGTTGTCAGCTGGAATGTGATAACTGCCAATGCCTGTGATTGTTGCCTGCCCAAACGTAAGGTGATACAGCAGGAGCTTAATTGCTTTTCAGCGCGCTAAAGCTGATTGTGCTTGGGCTTTTTGCCTTGAAGTGAGGGCTTGCACCAAGGCAGCTGCTGTGGTTGTGGGATCAGGTGATCTCATCTGAAGCCTGAGTCATGAAGAGACAAAGTCATGAAGGGATTCAATCTATTCATTTAGCTGAAGATGAAAGGCCGTTCTGCTCTTGCTGTGTCACTTTAAAGCTTCTGAGTCCATAAAATTAATCCTATTATAGTGGTTTGTTCTTTGCTATGTTTTACCCATTGTCTTTAAGTTCTGGGCCTAAGTCAGCTCCACTGGTGGTGTGGTAGGCTACACCTAGCCTACTAGCTAGCCTGTGTAACCTAGCCTGTACTAGGCTTTCTCCTTCAGTTAGGATTGGCGTTGAAGTGGATGGCTTGCTACCAGGAAGCTTGCTACCAAAATAAGTGTTGGTTTGTCTCAAGAATAAAGCTGGAAAAATATCCCACCATTGAACATGGTACCATATTGCAGCTCTACTTGGAACAGAATGTCAAATTATTACTGATAAATTTTGCAAACAAGTTGTAGGCTGGGAGAGTAGTCTGTGAGGAAAACGAAGGACTAATAAAATTGGATTGTGGGGTGAGCTAAATGCAAGCAGACACTAGGGGTTGTTTTATATGTGGCCAAATATCAGTTGCATTTATAAAAACTAGGAACTGTAAACCACAATTGATGCAAATCGTGCTCCATCATATGAAACAGTGACTAAAAGTATTGAGTATTAACTGTTGAGCAAGAGTTGTCATTGTGATCATGGATAAAAGCGCTATTGTGATTCCCATATGGCAAAATAAGAGGGTATCAAGTAGGGAGGTTTTTTCTTGATGCTTAGCACATGTGCTATATATAGTACAAAGGTGAAGGATATTGATAAATTGAAATGCATTCAGCAAGGGAGCTACCAGTATGAGCAGAGATATAGAAAACATGGTGAGATCTGCAAAAAGCATAAAGTACTTGGCTTAACAGTTTCAGGGAAGAGCTGAATTGTAACAGGTGAGTCCCCTAAGTGGGGACAAAATATTGATAATACATGAGATAAAATAAAGCTCTCCAGTCTAGCAGTCAAAAGCACATTATGATTCAGTTTTGGTAAGGTGTACCAAGCTTATTAAGCATAAAATGAAATTATTTTCAGTAATTTTATTTTTAAGTTGTGGCTACTTTATTGGGTATTGACATCATGATTTGTTGCATACTCCAGCGTTCTGCCTTTGCTAGATGCCTGTTGTTTTGTCTGTCTGGTGAAGAAGTTCTTCTGCTTCCTGGTGGAAGGGAGTTTAAGGAGTTATTTAAGCAAAATAACAAGAAAATGTTACAGCAAGAAACGGTGCTAAGAAAAAGGGGAAAATGAACTTGTACTCTTGTGTTACAGATTCAGTGGTTCTTTCCTTTGACTCCGTTGGACATACAATAGGCTCAGGTACAACATTGCCTTCTTCTCTATCTCCCACCTCATGACAAGGCTTCAACGTAACTTGACATGGTAGCCATGTTGGGAGGCAGGTCACTGAGTCAGACTTCGGTGGGAATCAGCCACGTAGTCAAAGTGGGTAAATGGGTCCTGGAGCAGGCTGCCCAGAGAAGCTGCGGCTGCCACATCCTTGGCAGTGTTCAAGGCCAGGCTGGATGAGGCTTGGAGCAACCTGGTCTAGTGGAAGGTGTCCCTCCCTGTGGCAGGGGGTTGGAACTAGATGGTCTTCAAGGTCCCTTCCAACCCAAACCATTCTATGATTATATAGCTCCTAAGGATAGTGGAAGTATTAAGGGTCTTAGTGCAACGCAAGGATGAGCACTTGGGACCCCTTCTGTTACCCAGCAAGGCATATGACCTGGACACGTTATATGTGTTAGTGATGCGGTTTGTGCTTCTCATGTGAAAGGCATGAAGATGATGTCACCCACCAGCTGAAGAAAAATTGTTCTATGCTACTAGGAGAGTTTCTCAGCTAAACAAACAGTTGAGTTATTTGGGGAAACACATCAGGAATGCTTCCAGGAAGGAGAAGGTGAAAGAGTTGTAGCTAAACAAATAGGGCTGGAAACTTTTCTTTTTGGGTGGAGATTGACCAGCATTATCAAACCCCAAGGGAAATTATGTCCAGTCTAATTTCCTTTGAAACCTGAGCATGAACTTCAGTTAAACCGAACCAGAAGCCAAAATTCTTTTGTGCAGAGTGCACTTCATGAAACCAGCACCTTTCCCTTTGGCTAAATGTAATGCATGAGTGGTAGCCAAGGCACACGATAGTAAGCTCAATATTTGATGAAATTCAATTTATGGTTTATGTATAATGATGTGCAAAGGAAAGGCTAAGAATTACTCTTAGAACTTAAACCACCTTCACATTTAGAAGATGGGTTATTTACTGTCTTGCAGAGAAGAAAATAATCCAAGTGAAGGTTTAGCATTTTGTCTTGCTTACTAGCCTTTCCTCTTAGGTTGAAAGGGGGAACATGCTGCCTTCCAACATAGCACCTGTCTTCTGCCTGCACAATTTGAAAGAGAGCCTGCTGCCTGACACTAACAGCAAAGCTTGAACACGGATTTCCAATTTACTAACCCCTGATCTAGTGGAAGTAACTTGCTTTGGTTACAGCACCCTAAATGTTTTCTGCTGTCTCTGCATCGTCTCCAAGACGTCTGTTGGGAAATGGATCTATTATGGGTGCATGGACTGATCTCGGAGTATTTCTAGGATGCTGTATGTAGAGTGGATATATTGTGTTTATAGGGAGAAGAAACCCTCTATTATCTATTAACTCCTGTCTACTATTTAATATTGGACATAACTGAAGTGTGTCTCTGCCTCCCTCCTTCTGCACTGGGTGATGGTTTCTTTATCAGGGGAGAAGTTGCATAGGTTTGAGATAAGAAATTTGTGATTAAAATTCAGGGAAATATTTTTATTACAGCTGGGTATGTCTGAATTGGCATACCTACCGTACTGGAGTTATGCTGGTACAGATAAGACCAGAATTTGTCCTGGAGTACAACTTTTAAATATTACTACAGATTTATCTTTTTCCCCTGCTCTGATACTATTTTGGCTTCTAACTGATGTGAAAACACTTAACCCTGTGGATAGCTTCCAGTGCAGCATACCTATGGAGTTAATCATAAATGTTATGATACTACCATTGGGGTGGTAAACTTACTCATGAAAAATTGTTCAACTGCGCCATGTCTTTTGGAGTTCTGTTAATAGGGAGGGTGAGAGACAAGTTAATGTAGCCAGCGGATTGACTGTGCCTGTTTTAAAAGCACTGGTCTTTGTTCTGCTTATATACTGCAATTGGTTAGGAGTAAGACAGTAAAATTTGATCTTTTGTAAACCTTCCACTGCAAGAAAATTGAATTTCTTTATTGAAGAAATATGAAGAAAAGTCATATACTTAAGAAGGGAGGTTCAGAAATGTCCAAGAGAGCTGTACGTTTATTACTTTCATATTTAGTCCTTTGCATTCACTGTGCTGCAAACCTTAATTTGCTCTGAACTGGTATGTGTAATAAGATGTCAAGATGCGTGATGTTTTTCCAACTGAGGGATAGCTTTCCTTGTTGAACAGGAAGGAGAGAGAGAAAAACTGTGGCTATTCTGCTTCCGCTGTCCATCCCATCTCACCTTGCTGCAGACCCAGGAAAAGACAGAGTCCAGAAAGAACTCAGAGAAACAATGGCAGCTCCAGGCCCAGCCATTCCCAGTAGGTGATGTTTCAGGTTGGGGTAAGAAGGGACTAAAGTTACATGCTTTGAAACAGAAAAATACAGACACCTTTTTCTTTATTACTTAGAATTAAACAGCTGTAATAGTCTCCCTGTTAAGATTTTATGCTGCATAAAACTAGTACTCATTGACTTGTATTTGTATATTAAACAGCTTCTTAGAATTGCTCTTTTTTAATTGTTAATCATGCTATGTGAAGGGCGGTATCTTGTTGCAGTTTCTGTGTTTTGTTTGAATTGACTGTTTGACCTTATCTTGGTTTTCCCCTTAACTCTGTCCCACATGCAAATGTCAGTTTTCAGAGAGGCTGGAAATCTGTCCTTATGTATCTCCGATTAATGACACTGTCTAGGTTCTTTTGGATAAACTTTCGGAACTAAGTGTTCAGAAGATCATCTAGCTATGGAGCCTTAAAGTACTGCTTCATGGATTGGAGGACAGGAGAATCAAATGTGCTTGAAGTGAGACTGAACTGTCTGAGGTTCATGCTGTGGTTGAGCCCTTTAGAGTCCAGATGTTTTTGTGATTCTGTTCACGACTGCTCCTTCCCTTGAAAGACAAAGTTTGAGCAGCAAAGATAAATGTTTGGTGTGAGGTCTAGGCCAGTGTTTCAGCTGAAATCATTTAAGAAAGGAGGGTGTCATGCCCTGAACTTGGGCAGCATTAAGCAGGGCACAGGGTGTTTGAGAAGGCCTAGATTTCATTTGCTTGTCATAGACAGCTAGTACTCTTTCCCGCCCCCCCTGCTCTCCTCCCAGTTGTTTTACTTTGTTGCTAGTAAATCAAAAACATTGGACCTTGAAAGACAGATTTATGCCCCTGCTATTTTTGTGTGAGACTTTTTTTCTACCTCCTGTGTCTGAGAACAAGCAAGTTAAGTTTTTCTTCTCCAAGCCTCATTGGGATATTGTGCATTGAATGTGCAACTTTCCCATCTCTTAATGTGCTTGCTGGAAATATTGAAGTTCTAACTACCTTATGGCTGTAGGCTTACGCTGTTGGAGACGTGTTTAATTGCAGTACTGGCCACTGGTTGTATAGCAGTTGTTCTCACTGCAGGCTTAAAACATGATAGTTTTAACATATCAAGTAACCGTTATCTAAGTCTTGCTCAAATTGTTTGAATATTTTAACTTTGTTGCATTTTTCAATTTAATTTTTAACCCTTATGAAAAGTTCAGCTTGACTTATGCAGAGAAAATGGAGCTTCTGAAATTTGTTTTTGAGTAGCATATTTGCTGTGGCTCATATAAGGGTGCTGGGGAGGGACTCTTCATTAGGGACTGTACTGATAGGACAAGGGGTAACGGGTTGAAACTTAAACAGGGGAAGTTTAGATTGGATATAAGGAGGAAGTTCTTTACTGTGAGGGTGATGAGGCACTGGAATGCATTGCCCAAGGAAGCTGTGAATGCTCCATCTCTGGTGGTATTCAAGGCCAGGTTGGACAGAGCCTTGGGTGAGATGGTTTAGTGTGAGGTGTCCCTGCCCATGGGAGGGGGATTGGAACTTGCTGATCTTAAGGTCCTTTCCAACCCTAACTATTCTATGATTCTACTTGTGAAAGCCCCCATGCATGACCATGCTTCCAGATGCTGAGTTCACAGTGGTAGTGGAGTAACCATCTGAGAGATTAAATCTCTGCTTATTTAGGAGTTTGCTGTTGGTAATCCCTTACGCTAAAGTCCTTAACCATTGTGGGAGAAGCTGTGAGAACTATGAAGGAAACATTATGTTTCCTTCAGCTGCCAAAGATGCTCAGATAATAATTTTGTGAAAGGTGAGAAGAAACCTGTGTCTGTCTCAGCTCCAGAGTGAATTTCGTGACTACTTCCCTGTGTTTTGGATGGAGGCCAGGAAAAGGAATACAACCGAAATTGTCAGATATCAGATTGATAGAACAGTGACAGATTCCTAGCATGAGAGAAAAACACTGCTGTTTTTTGGCTTTATTGATGAGAATCTGGCAATGTAGGTGGCTACAATTACAAAGTATGATCTTTCCCAGGTTCTAGGTTAGTGGTATTTAATTTAGATATGTTAATAGAGTTTGTGAGGCTCTGGTAGATCATCTTGGTTTGCGAAAAACAATTTAAACTTACATTTGGAGCTGATGTGGTTCTAATTTGTTGGGGTTTTCGAGTTGAGGGTTTTTTTCCCTTAAGTTGATTATCTGACTGTCTTGTTGCTATGTGGTAGTGACGGAAAAGGAGAGGTGAACTTATGTTGCATTTTTCTGCATTCCAATAAAACAGAAAATAAATGGGATAGATTATGTATTTTTTTCTCTTCATTTTAGTGGCTTTGTTATTCTCACTCTTGATTAATGAAGTTCTACTTCATTCTTTATTTCTTTGAGCTGTGGACTGTGGGAGCTGCTTGAATCTTTGCCAGTGACTGTCATGTATTGGTTGCATAGTCCTTACATACCTTTGCCAGCACATTCAGTATCGTCATCATCTATCTTCTTATTAACGCTCTATTCCTCCAGCTGAAAATACAGCTGTGAATGAGTTGAGGTGCAAATGCCAAGAGGTGACTTAAAGAATATCTTGAAATGAAAGTATTTTAATGGGATTTTTCTCTATCATGTGGCATATCTCTGCATCAAATCAGTACCTCTTGTATGTCACTAAAAGCCAATGTAGATTACTGTTCTGTTAATATTGTTCTTGACTTTTATTAGGAAATACGATACAATTTCTAAAATAAAGAATATGCCGGAAGATGCAGTAGGGCAGCATTAAGTGCATTAGCTGAGTGGATATGTGGTAGTAAATGAAACAACTGTTTGGAAAGGGTTGCAGACTGGCTTTAAACAGATGACTCCCTGGGAAAAGAAAAAGGGAGTCATATGCAGTTCATAGGAGAGAATTTTTCATCTTCCTGTTACAGTCTTTCATAAAGTCAGCTTTAAAACAGTCAGTTGCTTTTCTACTGTTGGAGGTTGCTATAGTTTTATTAGGAAGCAATTTGTGAGGGGTTTTGTAGTAAATGTTAAGGCAGCCAGAGCCTTAAAAAATGTAGTATGCTAGAATGGCCTCCTTTTTTTTGTTTGGTTGGTTTTTTTGTTCTAATATACCTATATTGGAGGTAAGACAAGGAGGTGAAAGACCTTCCTGACCCGTACAGCACTATCATCAAGGGGTTGTTTTTTATTCTTTCTGTGCCTAGGGGATGAATAATGTAGTTGCAGTGTCTAATGAAGGAGACCCCTCTGGTGGATTGCTTTCCTCAGGCTGTAAAGCTGGGCCAGATGTCTTTGGGGGCCCCAGTCAGGAATTACAGGCGGGGGGAACCACCTTGAATGTATAGAGCTGGAAATTACTTCCTTTCGCTGCTAAATCTGCATCAGTAAGTAGTACCCTCATGATTGTCAGTGTTACCAGGGCATGCAGGGGTTTGTGACTGGAGACAGATTTCTCCTTTCACCACTTAGAACTCAGAGGTTTGTGTTTCAGCTGTGCTGATAGTGCCTGGTGTATCCATTCCCATCAGATATGGCTGTTGTCATCAGGTGCAGTGTCTGGAAAATGAATATTGAGCTTGGTGTAGCAGGAATAGTGTTTTTAGATCAGTTGTACAGTCTGTGAACATTCTTAGATGTGAAATTCCATGTTTTGTTGACAGAGTAATAGTGTTGATGAAGTTCTTTTGCTTCCCAGAAAAAAAGAAAGCTAAAGCTTTCTTTAATGTGAGGCTACATTAGAAGTTGTTCAAGAATCAGTTTTTTACACACATGGTGGGAATGTCAGATGGGTAGATAGTGCTATGCAGACATGGACTGGGGAGGCATGCTTCCAGTGCTAGTCTACAGATGTCACTTCTGCTGCTTCTGTGTATTTTTACTGAGCAGGGAAGAGCACCAAGAACTGGTCTAGGGTTTTGGTCACCAAGAACCCTAAACCCCAACTTACCAGTACAGTTGGAGTTCTCCCTGATGTCACTTGGACAACCTGGAGAAAAAGGCATTAAACTTAAATGCAAAAGAGTGAATGGGGGTGAGGAGGAAGCTGGAACATAGACAAGCTTGCTGTTTATGCCGGACAGTGGTGAGGAGCCCGGGGGGGGGTCAGCTCTACCTCTTCTGGCTTTGCAGCCTTTGCCTCCTGCCCAGTTATCCAGCCTCAGGAAATACTGCTTTCATCAGCAAGTTCTATCACTGAAGAGGTTACAGTGAAAATCCTAAGGGAAGGATGCAATATTAAGTTCTTGTTTGTCCAGTACTTTTATTGTTGCTCAGTAATCCTAAGTGATATTTTTTAACCCTGGAAGAAAATCTTTCTTTTGTTCTTTTCAGTTGATCATAGAATCATAGAATCAACTAGGTTGGAATAGACCTTTAAGATCACCAAGTCCAACCATTACCCCAGGACTGCCAAGCCCACCACTAAACCACATCACTCAGGGCAAACTGATCTCCCTTCAAGATCTCTCCTTATGGCTGCCCCTCATGATCACCACTCATAGCCACCCCCCATCTGCCCCTCACAGTTGCCCACACTGTATGGCTGCCACCCCTACCCCCGCCACCCCTCACAGCGCACAGCTGCCCCTGCTTTCCACTCATGCTCTCCCCTCATGGCCGTGCCTCATCTTCCCCTCATGATCTACCCTCATGGCCACCCCTCCTCCCCCCTCACAATCTCCCCTCATGGCCACCCCTCCTCCCCCCTCACAATCTCCCCTCATGGCTGCTCTTCCTCTCCCCTCATGATCTCCCTTCATAGACACCCCTCCTTCCTTTTCACAGTCTCCCCTCATGACTGCCCTGTCTTTCCCTCACGGCCGCCCCTCATTTCCCCTCAAGATCTTCCTTCATGGCCGACCTTACTCTCCCTTCATGATCTCCCGTCACAGTCGTCCCTCAACCCTCATGGCCACCCCTCCTTTCTCTTTATGATCTCCCCTCATGGCTGCCCTCCCTCCCCACTCATGATCTCTCCTCACAACCACCATTCACCCCTCATGGCCACCTCTCATCTCCTCTCACAATCTCTCATCATGACTGTCCCTTCTCTCCCTCATGATCTTTCCTCATGGCTGCCTCTCATTTCCCCTCATGGTCTCCTCTCATGACTGCCCCTTCTCTTGCTCACCATCTTCCCTCATGGCCGCCCCTCTTTTCCCCTCATGATGGCCACCCCTCCTCTCCTCCTATGATCTCCCCTCATGGCTGTCCATCCTCTCCTCTCATAATCTCCCGTTATGACTGCCCTTTATCCCTTATGGCTGCCCCTCCTCTCCCCTCATGATGCCCCCTCATGCCTGTTCCTCCTTCTACCTCACAATCTCCCCTCATGACTGCCCCTTCTCTCCCTCATGATCTTTCCTCATAGCTGCCCCTCCTTTCCCCTCACAACTGCCCTTCACCCCTCATGGCCACCCCTTCTCTCCCCTCACAATCTCCCCTCATGGCACCCCTCCTTTCCCTTCATGATCTCCCCTCATGGCTGCCCCCTCTCTCCCCTCATGATCTCCCCTCACAATCACCCTTTTTCCCCCCCCATGGCCACCCCTTGTCTTCCCTCATGGCTGCCCCTCCTTTCACCTCATGATCTCCTCTCATGGCTGCCCTTCACCCCTCATGGCCTCCCTCATCTCCCCTCATATTCAGCAGTGTTTAGTATTGTCTGATTTGTGTACAGCAGCTGCAAGTATGCACTGCAGAGCCTATTTCCAGCTCTCCACTCATAATGAGGATTAACCACATGCTATCTACTTCATTGCTTACACTCCCTTCCCCGCTCCATGTAATTCTACAGGCTCCTCTGCCTCTTTGCTTCTCCAGCTATACAAACTTCACTGGACAGGATGAAATGTAGCAGGGTGGTCTGACCTGTTCTTGATAGTACTCCTGTCTCTTGAGTGTCATACTGCTTTCTTTGACAAACACAAACATTTTGAAGAAAATAGCTGAAGTTGAACCCTCTGCCTTCCATCCTGTACTTGCAATTAACAGTTAAACACTGCGAGAACTAGAACCACATATAGCCCATCTTTTAAAAGAAGCTTAAATTAATTTTCTGTTTCTGTGGGTGAAGTTATTTATATTGTCCTTCCAAGTAGCCAGCTGCTAAAGGAATAGTACTCAAGGCATCAGAGAAATAAGTTATGGATAGTTTGAAAGGCTAAAACCAATAAGCCAAGTTAATTCCTGAACTGTTGACTTTGTATTAGTAGCATAAAATTAGTAGGGGAAAATTTTGCCTGTTGTATGTAGATATACTGGCTGCAGATGCAAAATACAGTTTTAAAACATGATAGGTACTATACACTGTGCTTGATGGCTTTTTGAGTAGTCTGTATGGAATTTGCAGACATGGGACAATGCATTTCTCACTTGCTGCCTGGTAGCTGGATTTCTGTTGGATACTTGAGAGAAGTTTCTATTCTAATGCCAGCGTAGTATTTGGCACATGATTTGCTTCACTCATAGAAATTGCTTCTTGGCTGTACTTCTGTTCTTATAACCCTAATTACATGCTTTCTTATGAAATTGGTGTCAGTTATTAGATTCTTACTCAATTCTGATCTTTCTGGAAACGTAGAAATGCATTTTATTTCTGACCCAGGAAGACCTCTTGTTCTTATGGGTCATGATGAAACTTCTATTTCCCATGTTCATTCCTTTCTGTGCTTCTGTACACTACTGTACCACATTGTCAGCTGAGATCTGTGGTTTCCCAGCACAAGTGAGTTTGGTCCTTAGATTGCCTTGCTCTCTTTTTATACTGTTGCTTTTACCCCTCATGGACCTTTCAGTCTCTTATGGGCTGAAAATGTAAAGCCTTCTTCAGATTCTTCCATGATGTTTTTAATGAACGCAAAATAAGTTCATTAATAATTTTATGCATTTTTGGCTTAAAAAAAAATAATCCTATTCCACACAGCCATATAAATGCCTTGTTTGGAGACCAGTGGGTCAGACATGGCCTGAGCTGGATCAGACCTGCCAACCAGGTAAAAATGATGCTGGCAGAGGCCAACAGCAGACCACAGTTAACACAGCAAGCTAGTCCAAGCTAGTTCTTTTTGGAGATGCTGGAGTATTTCTTCCTTGTTCTCTTTAGCTATTTTGTTCTTGTTTTCTCCAATATTTTAGCAGTTCTTAATCCCACTGCTTGAAAAAGAGAAGAAATGTTTTTGTGTATCTGCTGGTTAACTTGGTGAGTAAGGCTTTAAACTAAGCCCGTGGAAGGTGAAAGTAACCTGTAGGTTAGGTCGCAGAGAAGTTACACGAGTGCCAATGTAGGCTCTTGCAGCCAGTATTTTCAAGGCAAGAAAGGGCAGGAGGAATGGGATTGCCCCTTTCTCTAGCAGTAAGCTGTGAGATCATCTCCTGTAATCATCACACCATGACCATACTGCATTTCAGATTCACTTGTACTCGCCTTGGATTTAGTGGATCTGTGTTTTGTTTTAAATTAAATACATAACTTCAGACAAGGATTGCCTTTTCCGGCAGCTGGGCCATGTGCGTCTGGCTTTGTCCAGGTACTGGGGGGTTTATCTGCCTTTTGTGAATCCAGACTGCTTCCAGCCAGCATGTGGGTTGCAGTGACTTCTGGCCCCTTTATTCATAGTGATACAGCTAAATGGCATTGGAAGTCCATAACAAGACTGATTTTAGCTAAAATGGAAGCTAACTTTGAATCTGTAACTTTAACACTCCTAGTTGTCTTTCTTGGGGGGAGCAGTGTGTGATGGAGATGAATTTCCAAGCCAGTAACGCTGAAGCTTCCAGAAGTGTCAATGAGCGTGAGATGGCTCATGAGGAGGGCAGCATTCCTCTGCCTGAAGCAGTTTGCATGTTTCACCAGCCAGCAAGAGGAAGGAGCATAGATGCTTCTGGTTTGATGTTACAGCCTGAAAGGATAATTTCCACCCGACTGAAAATCAAGAACAGACATGTGCATCTGGTTTGAAACCATAAATGCTATTTTGTTTTGTTATGCTGATTTTGGAAGTGCCTGTTGCAAGATAGTTGACATACTTAATTTTACAAGATTGCTTTATACCTCTGTTAGTAATCATCAGAGAACATCAAAAGTAACCACTTAAAACCATGGGAAGGTGAAATGCATGTCACAAACAGAAGATGAATCTTACAAAACATTGCAATGGAGGTATGTCATCTGTGGCACTTAGTGTGTAGTATGTGTGTGTTTTCTGGTGCTTTGCTTGCAAAGCTCATAAAGTGCTGCGTTAGTAGAAAGCCCAGGATGTTGTTGTAGTTATGAGGTGATGTATCTTATTGCATTTCTTCTTATATTTCCTGTTGGGAAGAAGGGAATGTTAGCTCGAATTGGATAACACGAATGGCAGGTGGGTCAGTGGCTGTAGATGTTAATAAATAAATAAATAAATACAATAAAAATAAAAATAATGTCTGTTGCAGCTTGCTTGGTATGGGTGATGTTTTGGGGAGGAGGAAGGGTTAATAAAAATTAAAGGCATATTTGTTTTTCTGGAATGGATAACTTTCTATCCACCATCCTGTATGCGGAGGAGGTAAGTTGGACAGGAAATAATTTCTTGTAGGAGGAATAAACTGGGAGGAAGTTATGAGGAAAGCAGGATATGGGGGAAATTGCAACTGTCATTACATGGAAGGTAGAGGAGATGTACAGGTGCATTTCTAGCTTTCCAAGTACAACAGGGATGGTGGGTGGCATGCAGGTGCTGGCAGAGGATGGGCAGTATGTGCCAGTATCAAGTGCGCACATGTTCTGCAACTTCTCTTACTAAGTTATGTAAAACATAATATTTCCCTTGGCTCAGGAATTACATCTTAATGGGATTGAAGCTAATGGCATGGTTTACACTGACCTATCTGCTGCAGTCACTTTGTCTTAGGTACATGTTAAGGCTTTCCTATTCTGCTGGTAAGTGATAGCACGAAAAGCTTGTGATCTTCTTAGGTAAACTACTGCAGCAGAACTTCTTGTGGTGTTCCATAAGGAAAGCAAACATCTCTATTTCCACTGAGTTCTTTCTTAAAGGCTAGGGGAGTGTTTTTTCTGCTTACTTTTAATACATCCTGATGCTTAAGCTCTGGAGGGATTATCTTTTAATTCTGTTTGTATTGTTTGTTTTTTTTTATTGTATGGTAGCGAGACTCTGTGGTCCTCAGCATGAGGAGGTCCCTGAGCTTAACAATGCGAGAAGGGCACTACACCTTTTCATTTTCTGTATGTATCTCATGTGAATTCTAATAGGTTTTTTTTTTGTATCAAGTATTTGATTTGCAAGATCACAATGTAATCAAAGATGCTGAATGCAATGCTTACTTTATACTGGAATTACAGTTTTTCTGAGTGTTAACTTTGTTTCTGTAGCTGTTACCTGTTTATGGCATAAACTGACTTTGCAGCTTCATGTTGAACATCACCTGCGCTTGAAGCATTTTTGCCACCATGAATTATTTTATTTTGAAGAAGGGCTGCTCAATTACAAAGTCGTGGGTTGGAATAGACAAGGAATCAAGAAAACTTTAAAGCTGTACCATGTCTGGACCTAGAAGGAGGCTTTGTCATAGAAATTACTGGGAAAATGATTTATACTGTAGGCAGGAAAACTTTGTATGCCACTGCATGTGTGGTTTCAGTAATGCTTTTTAAATATCTTGGTTAATTCTAGTGATTTCTAAATTAATGATTACCAATGTGTTCTCTTGCTTTAGTATTTTTTGGGGATTCAGAAATGTTCATTTGGGAATACCTTAAAGTAACAATGTGGGCTAACAGCTGCTAGTGACTAGAAATTTTTGATATAGTTATTTTCAATTAGAAATAATCATTGCCCTTCTGTAAGGACTTGCTGCTTTTTGGGTTTGGTGCCTTTTGCAGAGGAGACACTTACAGTTTTTATGATAATGTGTCCCTTGCTTTTGTTTTCCAGAGTATGACAAACTGGGCTTTCTCCTGAACCTGGACTCAAAATTGTAAGTAGAACAGGAGGACTCTTCTTTGTTTCTGTTATAAGCAAATCTTATGTCACCTGGACAGTTGGGTCACTGGACCGTACACTTCTACCTGGGACAGCAAAGTTCTGCAGCAACGTGGCAATTATGACTTCTTTCCTTACACTAGGCTTTGCCGGCCAGCTTGGATTATTGTTCACTGTTAATTGCATAATGACTGATCAAGAGGCTATAAATGTCCACCTGAAGCCATGACTGTCAGTCTGATCTAGATCTCCTTCTCTTAGTCTTCCAAATGAGGAAAAATGCATTAACCATTTGAAAGCGGGAAGAATGTTGGTCTGATTTACTGATGTGATGCTTAGACGTTTTTATTTCCTTTCCGCTTGTTCCTTTAAAAATGGGTGCTGCTATTTTTGTTCATAAACTGGAGCAGAAAGAACCTCCTCACAAGGTAGTGACCATTTGCTAAGTCAGAAGAACAGCGAAGTGCTGAAGGAGGATACTTGTCACGCTTGTTGCCACAAATCAGTCAAATTCAGACTGAATTTAACACTAGGGGTCACTAGCGACTCTGTTTCTGAGGTCAACACCCTTGTGGAAATCTTGGTACCGGGAGCAAAAAGGCTACTAAAACCCTTCTGACTCCACTGCTTAAAAAGGCACTGAAGCAATCTAGTGGCTTTGAATGACTTGAGGATGCAGCCCCTGTATAATGTTGATATAAAAGCGTTACTATAAAAACTGTTCTTAATGTTCAGAAAGGTTTGTTGTACTTACAGGGTGTAACATTGAAGTTTTGTGTTTAGTCTTGCTGAGTAGCTTAGGAGCTTCCATAATGAAATAAAAGCCTTGTAAATGTGTTGGGAACTGCTGTGTGCAGGAAATGAGAAAGTCTTTAGGTAGGAGTTTCTTTTACAGATGCATCTGGGTACATAAACTCAACTCTAGTAATTTACCTGAAAAAAAAGTACTGTAGAAGAGCATGTTCTTGTTCAGTGTTCAGGAAGGATGGTGTTTACTGCATGAATAGCTGGTCAAGGTTTTTTTCTGGTCTTATTAGTGTTCTGTGCCATTTTTGTTGTATGGTGTCTGGAGCCCATGCTGGTTGCATATTTACCAATTTTCTTTATTATATTTTCTGTACTGGGACTTTCTTGTGATTTAGAGGCAACAGTGTATGTACCTTACAACACTGGGATGAGATGATATATTCAATTTATGCATGTAGACGTAAAAGCAAAAGTTGTGAAATGGGTGACCTTTGAATGAATGTCTTGGTCTTGGTAAGGGAATATTTTTTTAAAGTTTTTAAGTAGTCTGATTTTTGTTTTTTTTTTTTTCCAGACTACATATTTTGTAATGTCTGAGTTACTGAACACACCCATTGACTGTCCACACACTTTTGGCATACCAGCTTTGGATACCAGCCTGTTCTGCATCCAAACCAAGGTTTCAGCCTTGCGTTTCCTATTCTTCCTTCTGTTTTTACTTGTCCTTTTCTTTGTTGCTTTTAGCAATCCTCTTGAGTCTTCCTTCCCCTCATGCCTCCTTTTTTTTCCTCTTTCCTGACTTATCTGTTTCAATTACATCTCTCTGAGACTTGGCCTGCTCCTTCTTAGACTTCAGTTTGAGGCCAAGTGAAGTTTTTACCTGCTGGAGGGCTTCTAAAATCCTATTTTTTTTTTTTATTAAAACTTCCCTGTGATAAAAGCTCTCTAATTATTTTTTTAATTGAAGAAAGATTCTGTTGACCACTTAAAAAGGTACTTACATAGCACCCTAAGTGTGTATGTTTGCTTTTCAAAGCCAGAAAGTTAGCTTCTGGAAAGGCCTGTAATAAAATCAGTATCATCAAAATAAACACTATGACGTTAAGGAGCAAAGAAAGCAAGTATTATACATAGGTGAAATAACTTGTTTGTTTGGTGTTTTTTTTTTACTGTAATTGTCCTTTGTTGGTTCTAGGTTGTTTGGGATATTTTGTTTTCCTTTATATTTTGTTATTTGTCTGTGTGTTTGCTTGTTTATCCTGTGGAAGTAAAGTGGCCCTGGTTTGAGAATAGACCTGATGACCTGTAGTGTTCTCTTCCAGTCTGAATTATTATATGATTACATTTTTTCAGTAGCAGGGAAGCCAGGAAAAAAGCTGAAAATACCATAAAATATAATAAATTTTGAATGAAAAATGGGTGACAGACCAGAGGAATGCGCTGCTGTTCCACAAGTTCAGCATGTATAGTCAAGGTACCAAACACTTTTTCTAAGTATACACTGAATCCAGGGAAATTTGGAGGTTAAAAATAGTTTCTGCAACTCGGTCAAGATAGTACCATTGTAAAAGTATTGCCTGGTTAAAAAAAAACAACCTGCTTAGAGTTGAAAGGGGTGTAATATGTTCTGCGTTGATGACTTTATTGGCAGAAATAATTTAATTATGGCTGTTGTTGTGATATAATCATTCTGGTGGAATTTTGCCATAGATCATAACTTCATAGGGTTCACTTAATTCACAGCATGTGAGAATCATACGTGACTTGAAGCACTTGGGGCAACAGTTAGGTTTCTCTCTCTTTTTCCCTTAATCTTTCATTTGCTCAAAATCCGTTCCTGGCTGTTACTGGGTGTCATTTAAATTAATGACCTGGAGATCTAACATTTTCTGCAAAGGTAGGTCTGCATTAAAATTTAGAGTGCTCCTACTTGCATTCTAAATGATGTTATAAGAGGGAAGTATTTATCTGAATAAATAGTAATGTGCCCATTTACCTTTGCATCTTTAATTTTTCATGTATTACATGAATAGTGTCTTCTACTCCATAGATGCTCATGGCATGTTATTCAGGTATAATACATCCTGTTGTAGATACAACTATGGAATGATTCAGTTCACTGGTTCTCTTTGAGTTCAGGGAAACGGTAATGAAACCAGATTCTTTCTTTTTGTAAAGAAAAATCTGTCAGAAGCACTTGATAAGTGTTTTCTGTGGGAACTGTATGTCTGATGCATGATTTGCTACAGCATTAGGGAGCGTGGTATGGCCAGAAAGTTAACCTGGAAAGGAATGGCCATTTCTAAAGATATTGTGCAGATGCTATGTGGAAATGACCAGTTCTGACCAGAGGTCTTGTTGCTCTGAGCTTGTCAGAAAGAAAAGTATCAAGAAGAAAGATACTTCCTTTCTGCTGCCTGTGCTTAGGTTATCCTTTCAACTTTTTAAAAGTAGGTTGGTATCCAGGTGGAGATTGATAATGAAATACAGGGTGAATGAAAAGCTGATGACATCTGTAGGCAACATAGTTTATTAAGTTCTTTAGTCAAAATGAGACCTAGGGCTCCTCAAGACCAGATTAGTGAAAAAGACCTCTTGCAAGAGGAGTTTATCTTTTATTTATGCTTGTACCTACCATAACATCATCAAAAAAAATAAAATACCAACACTAAATATATGCAAAGTACAGAAACAGGCCAGTTCAATCAGTTCTACCAGGTAAGGAGGTTTCCCAAGCAGCAGAGCCACAGACTGTTTTAAAATCTTTAAGAATAAAATCCAACATTTACTGGTTGTGTAAGAAAAATACTTACACAAAATATATAGTGCAATTCACAGGTCTTAATACCTGGAGGGGATCACTTACTACACTCTGAAAGCTGGGTTAGTGACCTTAATGATTACTCTGAGTATGCTTGGCAGGTTACAAGTGTAGATTCACTTGTCTTGCACATGTGAAAAGCTCCTTTTTTGTAATAACTCATGATCTGGGGGCTTCCCTGTCATGTTGTTGCCATCGTGCTTCTGTACTAGCTTTCCATACTCTCCTGGCATTCCATTTATTCAGTGAGATGGAAGCTATTCACTGCTACTTCTATCATTGTTTCAAACTTATCATTCAAATGCTATTTTCAAAGGTATTTTAGCAGTTATATTAGTGTTTTGATGCTTTTAAACAGCAGCCATAAAAAAAGCTCCCCTTAGGTGATGGTGGATCTTTTCACCTGCTGCCACAGTCAGCTCAAAGGCTTGGATGTTAAAATCTCAGTTGCTGAATGGTGGGGGAAGCATCCCAGGGTTTGGCTTTGACTGTGGAAGAATCAATCCCTCCATAAAGTTTTGAAAATGTTAGAAGATGTGCTTAATCTTACTGAAATAATTCTTCACCTAAACGAAAAGATAAAGTGGGTATGATGTGTTGACTTGAGAAAAAGGTAAAAACAGGCAAAAAAAATTGCTAGCCCTCTCACTTAGAAAAAAGACTGTAAAATTGGTATGGTTGACCACAATAACATACTACTAACATAGTTAATACACTGTATTTATACAATATATAGAATATATTTTATTTGTGCACTTTGGAAATTTTTAGGCAGTATTTAAAAGGAGGAATGTTTTTTCCTGTGGGCTCTGTGCTTTGCTATCCATTTTGTGATACTGTGTTCATGATTTACATGGTTTTTTCCAATATTATAGAGTAGATTCGGGAGGTGCAACAAAGATTTTTTTGAATATTGATAATAATTTCAAACTTTGCTTTTAAAAGAAAAGACAAAGAAATTGAGTCTTTGGGGAGGGTGGGGGAGTGTGAGGGTGGAGGGAAAGAAGCCAGAAATAACAACCTTCACCCTTCAAACTCAAACGAAACCTGATCTAGACTTTGAAAAGACTGTAAAAATGGAGGGAGTTTGTGCTAAGGAAACACACAGATTGGGTTACTTCTGTTTGTTGAAATTTCTTTACTTCAGAGCTTTAATAATTAAGAACTGAAGGAGAGCCCCTTCCCCTTATTTTGTTTCTGGGGTGGGAGGTTTCTTTAACACTGTGTCTATGTGTGGTACTTTGCCATTAAGCACTGTAAAAATAAGCAATAAATGTGTTGGAATGCTGGACTTTCCCTGTGCCTACTGCTGTGGGGTTTCTTTCTTCCCTGTCTTCCTTCCCATTTATCTTCTTATATTCCTGTGATCCTGGGGGTGGGGGGAGAAGTGAGAAATCCCAATGATCTCCCATCCTGCTTAGACAGGA